CCCCCTTTTTTTCCCCCCCCCCCCCCCCCCCCCCCCCCCCCCCCCTCCCCGCAACACGAATAATTCCTGCCAACATCCGGTGTCGGTGATCTGAAGATGACTGGACCAGTAAGGAAGAAAAGCCTTTAATCGGACTCACTCGATGTTGTTGGGTTGGGTAGAATGCAACGGGTTGCCGGCCCAAGTGTACGACCTGTCCCTTGTGGACGAGTTTGACAAGTCCCCGAAGGTGCTGGGGCTTCGAGCCCATTGCTGGATCGTCATCGCCTGCGACGGCACCCGGCCCAAAAGAAGCACCACCTCTCCTTCGGATTCCTGATGAAGTACAACAGCAAATGATAATCGATCTCGTGCGCGAGAGAAACGGTGGAGATGGAAGCTTCGATCGTGGCTGGCAAATTAATCCAGGGCTTGAGAAGCCTTCAGAATTCCAATCAAGGGTAGTTCCCTCTCCATGGTTCCTTCGTGTTCTCATTTCCTCTGCACTCGACGACCTCTATCACGCAATCGACATCTAATGACCCCATAGAGCTTCATCTGAAGCTTCGGAGGGGATAATTGTGGGGCCGAAAAAGACCGAGATCTAATGCCGATGAAGCCCTGGTCGCGCAGAAGCCGCTTGGCACGGTGACCCTCGAATTTAATCTTTTTCGCCCTCGCCTCAGCCTCGTCCTATCTAGACTTCCTTTGCCTGGGCATTCAATACGGAAAAAGAGATTTGAGATAGGGATGAAGACGGATCGTCCGATGGAGATCCGTTCTGCTTTCGCTGAGAGCGAAAGCTTGCCTCGAGTCTATAGGCGGCGATTTGTTGAGAAACACGGCGGGTGGTTCAGAGACAATACCCAGCCAACAATTTTAAGCACATAACGTTGAATCAACATTGAATAAACGTTTGGAACGTTGTTACAACGTTGGTTCAACGTCGCTTTGCTTGCTGGGTACTTATTGGCAAGCTTTCCTTATTTTCATGTATCCTTGCTGCCCCCGCTCAGGGCGGGCTTTAAGCATGTGCCGCATGTGCCCTCGCGCAGGGCGCACAGGCGCACATTCACCAGGGGCGCCAAAACGCGACTGAAAACGTGACGTGAACGAAGTAATAATGGATGCCCCCCTCAGTTTTACTTCAGAAAATGGAAATGCCTTCCGTTTTGGCGTCTATTTGGACGTTAGGGATCGACCCTTCTCCCCTGTCCCCACAACCCCACCCCCGCGTTCCTTGAAGAGTCGTCGGGGTTGTGGGGAAGGCGCTGGCACTGGATGCCGGAATAGCTCGGACCGGTCCTGTTGACGCTGGTCGAGTGACGCTCTTGAATTATACTGCTGCGTTTCAGGCAATGGTGGCTCGTAAGGGGAGGCAAGGGAGGCCCGGCCGCCTCAAAAATTATTTGGAGACATCATATTCAATTTGGAAAATATCAATAAAGATATCAAAGATCCGAAAGAAATCTCTCAGAACCATAGGATTTATTCTCGCGAAATAAGCCAAGTCCGGTCTCAGACTCAGACTTCTGCTCAGAATGACGGATGGGAAGCCAGAGCCTGAAGGCCTCCCCTGGCCCATCGACAATGCAAAGGGGTATCACGTAGCACACGCAAAGCAGTGGTACGATAGAAACCGCAAAAGCGCACAAATCGGATAACTGCACAAATTCTCCATGCCCTGAATCTTTGCCCTATGTTTTGTACATGATCTAAAACCGGATAAATGCAGCCCGGCTAAGTGCACAAGTTTTGTAAGCCCGATGTGCAACTTTTGTATGGAATCGTACCCAGCTAAGTGCACAAGGAGATGGCCCCGGCCAAATGTCACTCCAAGTGTCCCTCTATAGCAGTTAACTCCAGTACTACGGATTTGTTTTCAGCCTATGACCCAGAGCGGCATAGCCTTGTAGGCCTCGGGCGTTAGCTTTACGGAATACATATTCCGGGACCCGCAGGACTAGGGTTAACTGGCACATTATTGTGTGGGTTTTGAGTGAATCTGTGCGGGGATTAATGTATTTAAGCAAAACCCGGATAAGTGCACAAACCGGTTCTGTGCACAAAATTTTCTTGCCGGGTCGATATGCACTTCATCGGTTTCCATTGTATACGAGAGCAGAGAGTCCGGCCCGGTCCGGCCTCATCGTCTGTATTTACGCATGAGCAGGTGCCTGGCACCAAGCGATAGCACATCTTTAGGCCCTTTTGCTTCAAGTAGAGAACTGTTCGGTCATCCGAATTCCCTTTTCCAATTTATCTCAACGTCGTTGCAAAGGATGGAAAAGTCAGAAGGTATATTCTAGATAATCTAGGTGATTATCTAGAATCTAGATTATATCTCGTAGATGCGATTTTGTTTGAAAGAAGTTCTGAAAACTCGTAAGGGGGAGAAAGTCTTTAGACTGATACTCTTCGGACCGAATGCACCTCTACTCTCCCTCAAGTGTTCGATAAAGTATTTCTGCTCAGCTTTCACACGATTTTGATTTAATATAAACTGCCAACGCTGAGCGTTTCCTCATTCAGCCTCTTATTTTCCATCTTCTACTTCAAGAAGGCGAAAAGATCGACCCAAACACTTTTCCTGCTTCGTCCTCCCATTAATGCTACAATGAATTCTTGTTCATTATGACGATCGTGTGCAGGCCTCCCCAGATTTTTCGCCCACGAGCCCCCACTGCTTTCAGCCGGTTTCTCCGAAGGCTATTGGAGAAATTCTCTCTTCTCGCTCTGATGGCCAGTACGAAAGGGAACGTCTTCAACGTTGCTGCTTTTGGCAGGTACGCCTCGATTCAGTCAGATTCCTAAAAGCTTCCGACGAACTACTCACGAAATCTATTCCTCGGAAAACCAATGCGGCAGTTGAATGAGAGATTCTTCAGAGATCGGATTAGACTTCAGAGTAGCATATGCCCTAGTACAGGAAGGAAAAACAAGGAAACCAGGCCTAAGGGCATAACAAAACCTCTTGTGTTTCTCCTGCGAAGTCATAAGGCATTGAAAAGCTATTATACCTTGGTCAGGATCGATTCGTGCTCACTTCTCTGAATCTCACACCTTCGCTGCTGCAACTTCTTGATGCGCTCATTCGTGGGTATTAATAACTAGACCATGTTGATAAGATTATTTTGTCAGCGACATGTATGTATCATTAGGCGATACCCCGCATAATGCAGTCTTTGGTGCATTAGCAGCGAAGATAAACGATTCCTTTGTCGGGATCACCGTGCATAAGCGTAGCGTGGAGGGAAAAAGTGTCGGGAGGGCACAGAAACTCTGGCATACCGTTACCATGCACATCTGGGTCTTTTCTTTCTATTTTTTGGCATCTTTTCTTGAAAAGTGTGGGAGCACTTGCCACCCCCCCCCCCTTGCCCCCCCGACGCTACGCCGCTGTCACTGTGAGAGCTTCCCCATTGATTTCTATGCGGAGGGAAAATGTTTTCAGGGAGGTGCATGTACTGTGTATATGGTTCAATTCTGCTCAGAGGTGTTTCTGTTTGCATATTGTTCGTTAAAACGATTATGCTCGCTTATGATACAAGAAGACCTGTAAAAAAAAGCTTTTTTAAACATTTTGGAGCTCAAAAAATGAGAAAGGCGCAAGGTTTCAAGCTGGAAAAGTAACTGGTTGCCAGGAAGAGGGCAATGATAAATTGTGCATGGAAAGACAAATGCCCAAGTCCCTCCAAAGTTTGAGTCTTGAGACCACCTCTATTGGTAGTTTATGTTATCGAGAGAATCAAGGCCTCGCGAATAAAATCAGCACATTTGCTGTCCATACGAAGATCGGTTTCTCCATTAAGGGGGTAGACAAGGCGAGAGCCAAGAGAGATTTTGAGCTATTAGACAAGAGGAGTAAAAAAAACGGTACATGAAGTTATGTAAGTTTCTTCACAACGGTCGTGATAACGATAAGTCTCTGAATGCGTTCGACGAGGATAAACTGAGGTAGGCCAACGGGGAGAGACTTAGGGTTCATCAAGATCGATGAGGAACTCAAGTTCCCCTTGCACGCGGAGGCGACGATGGCGTCTGATAACAGGATTTTATGCTTCATCCGGCATTCCATAGCCAAGCGCTGGCGCGTCTGTTGTATGCAGCGCCCGTATTGAGTCGTATTGACCTCATTTTGAGTATCATATTCAATTTTGGAGGCCTGCTAATGAAAGCGACTTAACGGCTCTAGAAAGGGTTCTGAGGTAAGCTACGAAAATGATAGAAGGAGGTACAAGGGCATTCATATGAGAGTTTGAAGACGAAGTCGGAGAGACGTTTGAAAGCGTTGGGACTCTATTCACTAGAAAGGTTAACGAGGGGAGCCTCATTCAGGCGTCTAAGATCAATAAGAATGTTCATCATCACGTAGAGTGTGGTAGGTTTTTCCAACTCCGTGGTAAGAAGCAGAACGAGTGGAAGCTAGTGCAAGTTGAGTAAACCCCGAATGAGAATCGGGTTTAGGCATGGGTGTTCAAACTCGATTTGACTGGGGGTCGGATGAGTTGGTTCAGGGGTGGTTGAAATACCTCACCAACAAATCCTGCATCAAACTTTTAAAGCAAATTATTTGAAATTTGCAGCACTTTTCTGAGACCTACTTCTGAGAACTTCGCGGGTCGGACTAAATTAGGGCTGTCACGATAGATCGATGCATCGATACCACTATCGATGGTTGGAGGTATCGATAGTTTTTTCGACCATCGCGATGTATCGGCAAAAGATTTTTAAGGGGAAATGTCCCATTGGATTGAGGCGAATACAGTCTGTCCGGGCGAGGAAAGGAAGAGGCTGCGTGACCCGAATGGCTTGCAATTTATCACGACCTAATTCTGGAAATGCTGGGGCTGACTATATGAAAGACAGGAGGGGGAAAAAACCCGTTGGAATCGGATACAGGAAGTGGGAAAGGAAAGGGAGGGAAGACCGAGAATTTTTTTTTCTGTTTCAGTCTTCGGCTCGATCTCATCAGGTTCATGCTGCGAAAGTTTTTATACTCCCTTGATCGTTCGTTAATTCCCTCTCTATATTCCCGTCTTTCTCTTTAATATACAAGCTTGACTTTTTAAAAATTTTAACTTGCCCTGGGGCATTTTATCTCTTTACTTGAGGTGATCTTAGAGTGAATTTTATACATGGACTTAGCTTATTATCGGCTGTACCGATGTTTTCGCAGCCGCCGCTATCTGCCGGTGCCGTTGTCCAAAGAAGACAGTGTAGAACGAAAAAAAAAAGAATAAAAATTACCTGAACGGGCTTGGCAACTGATTCTAAACGGCAATAAGAAAAACTTAGGACTCTTCTGATGCATTCATCAACGAATGGATGTAATCTTCGATAATTGGTGGCATGGTAGGTTTCATTACTCTTTGCAAAAGTCACATATTCCCCCCGCAGCCCCCGATCACAGGCATGAGATTATGGAAGACGGATAGAGGTCCGCGCTCCGATCGAGAGCCATGAAACGATGAAAGACAAACCGGCTCTTGGAAAGAACTTCGCAAACAAAACATCGAGAGGGAAAAAGATCGCGGAAGAAACATCGCGAGGTGATAAAATCGCACAGTAAAAACATCGTACGGCGATAACATTGCGTGGAGTTTCCTAGGCTTGAAAGCATGCGAGCAAAAAGTAAAACATCATTTCAGTCGGTTCTTTGCTCTCGTTGGGAGCAGACATGTTTCGTCTCACTTTTTTCTGTCATGTAAATTTCACGCAAGTGAATTTTAATTTAAGGTAATTTAATTTAGTTTAGGTTACTGTTCCCTGTAAACAAGGTATACGCTTAGGGCTGGTCCGTGGTCAGTGAGGATTTGCTTCCCCGGTTAACTGATAGACACTGATTAGCATCTATAAAAAAAAACACATTTAATTAATCCTATCCTACATTTTAAGATCGCTCGACCTCGACGTCATAATGGGCAGAAGTGCCTCTTGATTTCCCATATCAGAACTTTGAACCTTGAGAAGAATATGCTCACGTCATCCGTAATTTAAAAGTTTCTCTCACAGTAATTCCAAATCACTTCGTATAACCCTCACAAGGGGAGAGTTGATGGTGGTCATATTTTGCATTCGCGGCACTTAATGAAACATTTCTTGAGGTTACTACACCCCCTAAAAGCACGCCCTAGCTGTGTTCAGTAACATTCACAGAACACTTTTAAATACTTTACGGTGTTTCTCAGTAGTTTCCCACGTCCTGCAGAAAGCTAGGCACAAGCAGCAAAATACTCCGCACCTCCCTCAGAATGGATCGCACGCGCTGCATAATGTTTCATACCACCTGCACTTCTCCACTCCTCCAGTGCTGCTCAGAATGGCAAGACCACTTGGCAACCCTGATGTTCGGGACCCTTGAAACAACGGCTGCATCACGAAGTCTCCCGTGGATGGTATTCGTCAGTTTCGCGCTTGGTCGTTTCGGGGCCCAGGCGAAAGAGGACCACTTCTAACGCATACCATCATTATTTGGTATTTCATCAATAAGAACTTCTAAGAGTGGAACTCCTTTTCCATTTCCTAACAGGTCTTTTCATGGAGTACTTCAGAGTAATCGTGAATCTGGGCGCTCGATATCCATTCAGTCTAAAAGACTATCCACAAGCCATGCATTCCTCTCTCCAAGGCTTGTCCGATGGATGCGACATTCGGAGTGGCACTTGCTCGTTGGGCAGGAGGAGGGAGTACGAAACATTATGCAACGCGTGCGGGTCATTTTGAAAGAAGTAAGAAGCAATATGCCACTCGTGCGTAACATTATGCAGCAGGTACGAAAGTTAATGGGAAACACTGTAATTACTTTCAGTCTTGGTTTGGAACCTCGTGGCATCCAACAGTAGCGTACCGTAGGGGAGGGGCTAAAGGAGCTCAAGCCCCTCCTATCCCGCTCGTTATTCAGATACCTTACTATTTTCTGAACTCCCCTCCCTTAAAAGATAATAAAAAAATCCTGCCTACGCTACTGCATTCAACCATACCGCCTGGGATAAAAAAAAAAAAGAAGTCAATCAGTGCCTCTCAATCGAAATGGGTCAAGTAGTTCTCGCACCAGGATGGCTTCCAAGTTCCAAGCCCTCTGGATTCGTTTCCTGGCAAGGAGAATGAGACAGGGTCATAGGGAAGCCTAGAAAGGCCCAACAGCCCTGGGGCGAGGATCATTTTGGGCGAATGTTTTCTCGTTTCCTTGCTTCCATCGCTCTGGGTTTTTTGCGTTTTTTTTATGTGTATTATTGCGTTCAGAACTTCTTCATTTGGTACTCGAAAACACACCTTCGTGGTGACCACTCTGAACCTGTCCAGTTGTTTTTGCTTCATGGCAACCAGCATTTATTTTCAACTAGCCGAAAGCGCGTGTACATGCGAGGTGTTTAGCTTGTGACCATTGACTTTGGCAATCGATCATCAAGGAAAAAGTCGAAGCACTGTTATACAATCAATTTTTTCCAATATATTTTTTTTTCATCCGAGTCGTTTCTAGTTATTAGATTGTTAATTAATACTTGCACGGGCTGTAAGAGTTAAAAAGTTTCATATTTTCCTTTTGCAAATAATAGATCATTTGTCCGTCCTCGGGTTCCTCTTCTTTGAATTATTTGGAACCCCAGTCCCCACAAATTACTTTTATAGGTCAACAGTACTGTTCTTCGACTGTGGACTCACCAATTGCTTCAGACACATCAATACAGACACAGTGCAGTTTGATCTCGCCACAACTCTCCGTGCATTAACATCGAGACGCTCTCTGTCCTCTTCTGTTTCACCAGTCCTTGGGACAATACATGCTGCAACATCTCGAGCTTGCCTCTCAGAACGTTCGGCTTCAGTCTCGTTCATTCTGCGGAAGCGGAAGTTCGCGGACATCTGAGTGAACCGTTCATCGCACTTGGCATCAGTCTCGTTTCCACTGCGGGAACGTTCGGCCACTCTTCCGGACCATTGAGACGGAGTGTCATCGGTGTCACTCTCGTGCACGATTCGCTTTCTCGTATGGGTATCGGGGTGATGATACCAGCTATATTTCCCTGTCGACGTTACAGTATCGAAGTGCTCATGAGTGAGCTATGACGTCGAGAAGTCGAATGGGGTAATGGCGCAATGCCAGTTATTGCTGCTATTCTTATTCAATACTTTGAAATTCTATCATGTCTTTTGATATACAGCCGCTATAAACTTCAGTCTAGTTTATGTAGTAAGAAGTATTTATCAATGAAGGCGGTGTTTGATCTGTTTGAGAGAATTCTGAGAAAAGCAGATCTCTCATGTCGTGCCTGGTCTCCAATATCAGGTTATTGCCCCTTCTTCACTGTCTCAGCTGATCATGAAATCGGCATTCCTCGCCCCAAAGTCTGAGTTTCATTTAAGAAGAAAGCCTGCCATCGCCAAGCCGGAAAGTTCGGACTCCCCGCAGGGGTGAAGCCGCACACGATGATACGGCAACAATAGGAAGCCGAGTTAGATTCTCGCGTATTCGCGACGCAGCAGGACCCACAATACATTGAGAATTTTCATTTGATGGAAATCGTATTGACATAAGCTCGTATGGAGGTTCCAAGCCTCCTTGCATATCAACTCCACGTCAGGTCGATGTTGGCTCGTCCACTCATTGAATTTCTCTCGCGCTCCCCCCACCAAATTTCATGGGAAAACCCGAGAGGGCAAGGAATCCCCCCCCCGGAAGATTTCATCCGATTGTTGCATTGGCATTCTGATCTCGCCTTTGCCTGATGGAGATTCCTGGTCCTTTCTCCCAATGCCCCTCTAATACAGTTCGACAAGGAAATTTCTCTTCTATCTCGCTCTACTCGTTGCGGCCGATTCGAACTGCTATAATGGACATTGGGGAGAAAACTCGGCAGCATTGTCAAAGCGAATCCTTGACGTCATTGTTCACTGTCTGCATTTTCTACGGAATGAAAAGTCCTATTTGCTTCGTGGTCGATATAGAATGATAAATGACACAAAGCTGTCCCAAGAGCCCTCGCGAAACCACTTTTCTTGGAACATGCTACCCTATCAGTCCATAAAACAGCCCAGATTTTATGCTGCATAGAAGCAATCTTGAGTACGGGTTTTCGCGTATCTGTTACAAACTCCTCGATTCCGTATTTGATGCCTATTATGCATGCACATTCATGACCTAAAGCGAGGTTTCAGATAAAATCAGGAACGTGTTATGCGAGGAGGGAACTATGCAAAAGCGTTTTTTTTTATGAAGAGATTCTCATTGCCTCATACTAAATGGAATACGCCTCATGACTTCGGCTGGAAATCATTTACAGGAGCAAAACCCCGAGAAAGAATTTCATCGGTGCCGCCGGAACGAGAAGTATGATAGATTGAAATTGAACTTGCCCGAAGAAGACGAATGACATCATCGTAGGGGAGTCGTCGGATGTCCTGGCCATTGATCTCCATGAGAAGGTCCCCTTGTAGGATCCTGCCATTCCTGGAGGCTGGGCTGCCCGGTTCCTTTTCCATGGAAGAAAGAAAGTTAGGGGTTCCCGGGGAAAAAAAAGAGCTTCAATAGGCTCGAGATCCATCTTTCTTTGTCTCATCAACTGAGAAGACTCTCCTGCATCTCTGATCAAAGTAATTCATGACTCGGAGGGAGACAGCCGCGCTCGATATTCCGAGCCTATTCCTCTCCGCTTCATTGCGCTCTTAAAGATAGAATTATCGAGAATTAGAGGCGAAATGGAACCAGGAAATGGAATTGGGGAAATGCGTGATAGATGAAGAGACGGTGCATATAGACACACAAGGATGGAAACACGTGCCCTGCGTGTCTCGAGGGGACCCACGATGGAAAACTTCATTAGTCCCAATGAACTAATTGAATGGGAGGGGCACTCAAGATCATATGGATGCGAACTAACGGAATATTTAGCCTTCTAAATCCAGACGTCATCGTTCGTGCCGAATCTAAAAAGAATTCCTTGTCGTTTCCGCCAGATTCTAGGGGTTTGATCGATACCAGGCACCCCCCCCCCCCCCCCCCCTTGAATGAGATGCCTGTTAATCAGTTCCCGAGGCGTAGTCAAATAAAGGTGAGAGAAAGTTGTTGATTCCCTGAAGGAAAATTGGATGGGGTAAAGGAGAGAATGTTGATTCTGTTTCCAACTTCAAAGGCTTTCTCGGAAATATATCTTAATCCTAACTTTGAATAACCCCCTCAGAGAGATTCGCTTTCCTCCCCCGCGGATCTTCTCATGACATTTCCCGTCCTCATCCCCCTTAAAGTAGGCCGATCGAAGAGAAGGAAGAAGGATTCACTTTACTCACCACCCACGTCACGAAGATTCCCTTCCCCTCTCTGGAAAAAAGAAAAGAAATTGTGGGAGTTGCCGGACCATCAGCGTTGATACCGCATTATGTCATTCCCTTTTCAAATGGTATACACACGAGCGTATATATAGAAAACACAAAGGAGCTAAAATGGGTTTCTCTATTTGCCTTGGGAGACAACTCAATCTTCCGGTCCATCAAAAACACAATCACCGAACCGACTCATCTAAGAAAAATAGGGTCTCTTTATTTGCCCCCATAGAAAATCCGTTTCCGCCGGCGCAACAGGGTTGAATGAGAGGCCAACCGACTTCCCAAGATCCTCTTATGAGTCCTTTATGGAGTGTCGTGGGCGATAAAGGTCTCCTCGGAAAGTGGATCGATTCTCATCGTCACATATTTCATCTTACGAGCTCTAATGGGAAAAAGAAACTGACCTGCCGGACATGAGACTGAGGCCCAGCCTTTCCGTCACCACGTGTTTCCTCAACTGCACGGTCACGAACCTCGTTGGCTCTGCAAGATCGCGAGAGACGAGTGTTTTTTCATCCGACGCCCACTGGTACATTTGCATGAAACGGCTTTTAATATTCGAATAGTCCTTTTTTTTGTTCTTCCCATAATAATGGAGAATAACAGAGTAGAGTGGGCAGAGGAATAACCTTCGTCGGTGGTGAACATGAGATGCGGATTTTCTCGGAGGACGATGAGTTTGACCGGCGACGAAGCCTCCTGCAGGGCCTGTATGGCCTCATCGTGGCTCTTCCGGCGGAGGTCCGTGCCGTTCACGGCCAGCAGGATGTCGCCCCGTTGCAGTCGGCCGTCACGATAGGCGGATCCTCCTTCCCTCACGCTCGACACGCACACCGCATTCTGCACAGCTTTCTTTTTTTGTATTTTTTTCCTCTGAATCTGCGGTTCTCCGACAAAAGGTGATGAGTTAGGAGGCCGAAAAAAATGTAGATAAATATATTCATCGCATGCATACAAATTCAACATAAAATTTGTGTTAATAAATGTCAATTGGAACGCGCTTGTGGCATGCTATCTGACTTCGACTGGCTCTACCTCACAAAATCACCCCCATAAAATTATCTTTGAGGGTGCAAAGCCCGCTGACCTCCAAAAGAATTTTCCATGCAGGATAAGAGTATCACTCAAGTTCATCCAAAAATGTAATTGATAGTTGGCGCTAGTGTAGATACATTTGAGTCACTTAAACTAGTGCTTTTACAAAGCCAATCACGATGTGTAGGTTGAAATCAGCTAGATTGTCACACCCACGTTCCAATTGGCATTCAATTGTACAACTTTGGTCCCGAATTTGCATCCATGTGACGAATATATTTGCATATTTTCGGTATGCAAATTTAACACGCACGTTCACTTTTGGCATTTGAATATAAGTGCAAAGTGCTACGGATATCAGGCTAAATTGTATTTTCTCTCAGAATTTCGAGCTCAGAAACAAATGAAACATACGAGCCATTGCAACCAAAGGAGCGCGAACAGAAGCGCAGCTCCACGGCATACGAGTTCCGAATGACTAATTTAACTCCGACATCACCTTCCGAGAACCGCACGAAACAAGGAAGAAACCGAGAGCGGGACTGACGAGATGTGAGTCGGACCCTCCGACGATTTCGATCCCGAGTTCCTTGTCCTCCTTCTTCAGCACGATGGGGGTGTCTCGAAAGTCTTGGATGCTTCCCAGGGGAACTGGAACGAAACGGCAGTCAACGCGTGCAATTGATGGTGATGAAATCAGAGTCGAAACCGGGCCCGATCTCGTTTATCTCTGGTCGACGCATCGCATCACCGAAAGTGCAAGAAAAGCGAAAAGAGCCCTCGTCGAAACGAGACACGTTTCTCAAGTGGGAGTTCTCGTTACAGGAATGAAACTTAAGGGAACCTGGCAGTTCATTGCGGAGAAAGGACCTCGGGTCTGTTCCTCGCCTCTGTTAAACTTAATCTAAGTCTAAATCTAAATCTTTTGCTTTTAGGCTGCTTTTAGAGTAGATTAAATTTCCCCTGACGTTTCGAGTGTTCGAGGGCTCCTTCGAGGGAAAAGGATTTAATAAACACCGAAAAAATACAATTTCAAAGATGGAAAGGAAGATAGGCGCCGTCAGGTGGAAAGTAACATTGAAATGAGATTACCAGAAAGACTGCCAAAGGGAAGCCAGAAGTCACGTCATGACTCAAAAAAGGACATACAAGGAGTTCCGAAAGCTTCTGACCCACTAAAATAAAGATCGAGACGAGAGAAACGGGGAATATATTAACTTCACTTCACTTAGAACCGTGGTAACGACTGACATGTCGATTTACAAGGTGGGGATAACGCAGAACAGTCTGCCTGAACCAGTGTCACAGGTGTCGAGTTCCGGACAATTCCTCGGACAACCTCTAAACTTGAACTTGAACTTGCAAAAACTTTGTGGCGTGGGGTTCCCGTCCTGCGTTGCCTTTTCTTTGCCTAGGCGGTTCGCCCGGATCTTCGCTTGGCTCGTGTAGATGGGAAGGATGTTTTTTCAGCAGCCGGATTGGCAATTACCATTTTGTGTGGGTGGGTCAGTAACTTTCGGAGCACCCTGTGAGTCTCGAGGACGTCAAGGAGTGCAAATGGAGAAATACAGGGTGGGCAAAAAAGTTCGCCCTTTTTCGCTTCATTTCATTCAAACTAAATCAGATGCGTTCGTGGAATTTGGAGGATCAGAAACGCTGCTACTTCCAGATCTGATGCACTTCATCCTCAGGAAACTCGACAAATAATTATTGAGCAATAATTTTTGTGGCGCGAGAATCAAAATCTATTTATTTCTCGTGCTAGGATAAGCAGAAAAGGGTGCGTTGTACATCCCTTACCATCATTATTGGTCATTTTAATCCAGATTTTTATTAAAGGTTGTCACAGATTCTTTTGAAGAACTTTAAAAATGTTTATCCCAACACGTCAACGTAATGCGAACACAAGCGCGATTTAATACATTTTTAAAATGTTGTACAACGGCTATTTCTCCAATGACCTTGTAATTAAATGCATCGGACCAGGGAATAGTGGTACTCGTATCGAATCGCACGAGAGCGTCTTCATTAGAAGACACATCAAATGAAAAAGGGCGAACTTTTATGGGTCCCCCCTGTAGTTCGGGAAGAAAGAGATGAGGGAGAGTTTCGGGCGAGTGAAAGCAAGGCTGAATGGGAATTGAGGGCTGCAACTCCCTTATCCAGAAGGCTTCCCGTTTTTCCATTCGTAAATGTCTTTCGATCTGAGCAAGGTTCCACCTCGCTTGGATCGGAACGCCGGTGCCCCGAGCGATAAAAATGAACGCTTTTGGGTTCCTCGAAGGTTCAGCCTCGTGATATATCGGCTAGGTCGTAAAACGATATGGCGGTTTTGCCGTCGCATCGAACGTCGCGAGCGCTGCGAATCATGTTATGAATGGGGGTGGAACAGGTCATGGTTGGCAGGAATATAAATGGTCTGTGACCAAGCAAAAGCGTGTTTTGCCTCAATATATGGGTGGGTCGGGTAGGAGTCACTGGAATAAACTCGGTTGGAACAGATTAAACATTTAAACATCATTGGAACATTTTAAATATTCTCATCTGTTTCAATTATTTAACAATAATTGAAACAGATGAGAGAAAAAACTAAATGTGGGTGAGGGAAAGCCTTTCTTAGTTCGGCTGCTTTGAAAATTTGCCTGAATCCTTTGCGAAACCGGTCGTGGGCGCAGGAAATACTCGAGTCAAATACGATGAGCGAAATTATATGCGTTTTTGAGCGGGTTTGTGCAATCGAGAGTTCTGGCCTTCTCGACCCTTGATGATATTGATCAGGATGACTCGTTTCGAGAGATAACTTATTAATTCTTCGAGACACCGAGAGAAGGTACTCTTGTCTGAGCCGTCTTAGGCGAGGAGCGAAGCTCAAAGGGAGAATTTCTTTCATTATTTAGAGAAAAGGATGCGGAAAGGAGAAAATGAGATCGGAGTGGGAGTCTGAGAGATAAAAGTCAGAGGATAATATCCAACTGTTCTCGGAGACAGTACGATCAAGAAATTTCACTTAATTTTCAGAGTAGGAATGAGTGAAGTTGATTGTTACGTGGACGGAATTAAAGACGTGAAAGTCAATAAATTTGTCCTATTTCCAAAGTATGAAGGTGTCTTCTGTAAAGTGAGACCAAAGATTAGAAGATTACGAGAAAAGCAGCCAAAACGCACTCCGACTGGCAAAATCAACGAGTGTCCATAGAGGTTAAAGGATTAGTTCTGAAGAAAGGTCTGCATGCCTCAAGGCCGCCGCCATCTTGGGGCCGGAGGGAAGTCCGGCATGCACATTTTTATTTTTATTTTTTTTTTTAGCAAGAAGGGCCCTAGTTCTCGGGAAGATGATCCCTCTTTTTCACTCAGATGCGGATATGTGAGGGTGGATCGATAAGTTACGGCCGTTGAATTGTCTCCACGCGTCTCTCTACCGACGACGAAATGATTTTGAAGCTAGGTGCTACCATTTGTCATCGATGCTGGCATGCATTTATTTTATCATTTGCCACGAGAGAGGAGGCACACGACAATTTCGAAAATGGCCCCGCACCACTGGATACACGCACCAACGCAGTGATCTGTGCGATTCATTCGATTCGATTCGTTTCCGCCCTTACGAAAAGATCCTATAAGATCCTATGAGATTTTTGACGCATGAAAATCTTATAGGATTCTTATAGAAATCCTATCGGATCTTTTCTGTCCGAGGATTCGAATTCTGCCGAAATTTACGAAAGACTGAAGGCGCAGTATGGAAAAATGCTCCTGGAACGACCCCTGAAAATATTGCAGCTGCGAAGGCTGCAATCTTAAACAGCTGACGATTATCAACTTCACGGGGAAAATGATCATGATATTCTTCAATATCTTCAATAAATTTCGGCAGCATCGAAACCCTCGGACCGCATAAAGCGAATGACAGATCGCTGCTCAATTTTGGTGCATGAATCCAATGGTGCCGCCATTTTATAATCTGCCAGCACTTTTGTGGCAAACGATGCAATTAATGCATGACAAACGGATACCCTCCAAAGCATTTTACGGACGAGTCCAGTAAGAGACACCAGAGCGCAATATTGGACAGTTATGAGACAACTCAGATTGAGAGCATGCTGCTTGAGGAAGCGTCAAAGCGAATTCTGCTTTTTAGTAACGCTGCCATAGATATAAGCATCGGTGGAAGTCCAGAAAATTAAACATTTTTGCTTATTACCTGGGCTCTGCAGGATTTTACCTTTGGTATGAAGCTACAGTATTTTTTCACGTAAGTCACGAACCTAATTTTTTACTCGACTCGGACATGAGTATCGAAGCGAAAAAAAAAAGTCAGACCCGAGTGAAAAAAACGCTGTGAAATCCACTTCCCAGGAGATTCTCCTTCATGCGTCGGCCAAGTTCTGATAATTCCTTTTTTCCCATGGTCTTTTTACGATTCGTAAATGGATTGTACAAGGAGTGAACTCTTCTGCATTGATCACTTCCGGATGCGGTAAGTAATCACTCTTGCCATGGAAAAGAGAAGGGAAATACGATTCAATTACGACAAGGTGGAGTCGACAGAACGTGACATTATTTTATTTATAGCTGATAATGGATCTCAGAATGGATCTGCTCGCACAGCCACTCCTTTTCCCCTCTGGGTAAGGCGAAAAAAAAAGAAGCCTGGCTCAGATCAAAGGGGAAAAAAATCATTTTTTTTTAAGAATCGCTACGGAATGTGACCGTCGGAAACGGCAATGATCTCGGCGATGAAAGATGAAAGATAAAGATGATAAGATTCGCCGGATGAGACGGGAATGAAGCTCTCTCACAAGGGAGGGGATTTTCATGTTCGTCTGCTTTGCTTGCGTAACCTTTGCGATCAATAATGGCTGCTGCACTCGATCCTCTTTTCCGCCGAAGGAAGCCTCGTGCCTCGAACCGCCGGATCTTTTTCTACAATTTACCGGTTTGGAGAGAATCAAAATGCTTCCCTCCTTTATAGAGTGCACGGGGATCCCCGTTCTGGGAAGAGAGCGGTCCCATCGGTCCTTTTTCGTTCACATAATTTGATTCCCTTCTATGCTTCGAATGATTTTAAAGAGATTCCTCGATTGCGTGGGACGAGCGAACTTCATTTGCTTGACGGCATACTTCTTTTAGCTGAGAGTCACGTTCGCGGAAACTCTCGGGCTGCGTTCTCTCATGGGGGTCGGAAACTTTCAAGCCCCGTGGAACGTTTTCCATGCTGAGGCTTCGAGAACCATGAAAAGCGTTTTGCTCTCGTCCCGAGGATGAAGTTATTGTGACAGGAAAAAAAAAATAATGGATTTCTTCACGCTCATCAACTCGTGCAAGCTCGCTGATGCAAGTCGAGGGGAATAATTTTTAGCTGCCTCTTCTCATACTCGCGCCGATTTTCCCTTTTTGTGATGGAAAAAGAACTTGTCACCGGATACGTATACGTATCGTTGCTTCCAAGCCTTATCGGGTGACTAACAGCAAATCAATATTGCTTTTCTGGGACCAACGGTCTGTTGACTCATATGCTTGAAGCTTCTGCCATGCGTCCGTAGCCGATATCAGATCCAGCCAGAAAGGTGAAGAATTTCTCGTAGCGAATTGAAATTGCTCTAACACTGAGGAGAGTGGATATTTGTGGGATTGAACCTTAGTTTTCGTTCCTTTGTTATCCTTTTTTATCCTTCGTTTTCAATCGATAAGCTTCGGTCATTAAGTTTTAGCCTTAATTTCAAGAGGAATTTCAATTTAAACAAGTTGACTGCTGAGGCTGCAGGGACGTGTGTATTCAGATTGGCGATAAACACCTAACGATCTGATGACTTTTGAAAATGAGAGTAAAAACTCTCAACTTCGTGTACACTCCAGCAAAGAGTATTTTGTTTCCTTAATAGTTTTTATTCTAAAGAATATTTTTTTAAATCCTGTAGTTACTAATGGCTCACCCGGTGGTCATTCCGGTGGTATCAGGGTGAGAATAGCTAAATACAGTCGATTCTCGTTGATCGAGACGCCAGTAATCCGGATCATCCGATAATTCGGACACGAGGAATGTTCCCGGCAGAAGTCCCATGACCAAATTATGATTTAAAAAATATAATCAAATTCTTCATTTAATCCAGACGTTGTTATCCCGTAGTTTCCGATCATCAGGACGAGTTTTCTAATCCCCTGGCCCATTCTCCTCGTTATTCCGGACTTGCAAGCAAATGAGGTGAAAAATGGGACAGAAAAAAGCTTTCTGCTGTCACCTTTCCCCTTCCCCCCCTCCCCCCTTCCCTCCTTCCTCCCCCCCCCCCCACCCCCCCTCTTTCCCCCTGGAATAAAAACTCTCCTCTCGTCCCGTCACCCCCATTCTCTTGCATCAGGATTGCTCTCTTTGGGAAAACTTTAGCTCCCTGCAGTGATCTTCCCGGTCAGTCTCATCCTCCCTTGTCATTAGTGCCACGAGAGGTTACGAGTTTTGAAACGCTTAGACATGAGTAAAAGGCAAGTAGGCCTAATGCTTGATTTGAATGTGCCAACAGCGACAGTCTCAGACATGAAGTGTCGCGATAAACATGAACATGAGCTCCTCTTTCACACCGAACATGCGCTCATCGTCGAGAGCACGGAGGAGAACGGAGCCCTGATGTCGAATCTAGCGGGTTTTTTGCGTGCGTCTAACGCAAAGGATAATTCGGGTTTCTTGGAAGTCGACTTCTCGAGAAAACTGAGGCTGTGATTCCTATTCGCATGGAGGAAAATAAAGATACGGAACAAACGAAGTCAATTTACTGCATTCGAGGAGCGCAGTTTTCTTCGGGAGGGGGGGGGGGGGGGGGAGAAGAAAAATTAGCTCGGGCAGGTTTTCGATAATCCGGACAAAATCACCGGTCTCTTCAAGTCCGGATTAACGAAAATCAAATCGGCTGCTAGGCTCAATCTCGCGTTGGATGGTAGAACAAATTTTCCGTCGAGACGACGTGAATTATTAAAGTAACAGGCTATGGTGAAGGCAAATGCGAAAAATCAATTTGCAATTAATAACCTCACGACTTCGCTAGCCCATGAGTTGCCTAAATTTGCTGAATATGCGGTTAATTAATTGATGCCGCTTCTTTGTTCGTTTGTCCCACGTCTCAACGTTCCAACTTTTCGTCAATGTTGACACAACGTTGAGCCGAACGGGTAAATATTTCGCACGACCAGCCCAACACCGTAGCGTCATCGGGCCATGGAAAGACGAGGAAAGAGCGTCGGGCAAGCGACGAAGCGGCGGTAATGGGGCCTCGCCGGGCCTCAGCCTCAGAAAAGTTGGACTGCTACGGCGGAAGTCGCATGATGATGGTCTCGGCGGGATTGTCATGTTGTGCCCTCCGCGAGCTGTCCCCAAGGATGCAAGAAAGCCCTCGTCTCGGCTCTCCTTATTGGTTCATACCCGGCACAGGAGCAATTCATGAAATATGCATGCAATGGCGGACACTCCCTGGCAGCTCATCAGAGGCGTTTCTGGGAAGGAACACAGCCCTTATCCAGTCACCATTAGGACTGATGCGAATGCCGTCATGCAATTCATAAATCAACGGCACGAAACTGCCCACCTGCCCCCCCTTCATTCCGTCTTCTTCGGCCTTTTTTCCTTCTTTCTACAGGACGCGTTGCGCATGTGAGGAGCGAACAAAAGTTTGTACGCTCTGTTTGCTGTGGAGTTCCCATCAAGTCTGAGCGATGAGTCCGCTACCTCAGAACTTCGAGATTCATCTCGCCAAGTTTTCCATCAGTATATGGGAAGGAAATTGCTGCCGTTTCTGTATGCGATGGGTCTGCTACTTGTCCCGGGCGCTCTTTTCAAAATGAGCGGCACGATTTAATTGCAAATTTTTTTTTAATTGCGATAATTCCTTTTTGTATAATAAAAATTTTTTTGCTCTACTAGACGAACGTGCAGCTTCGAGTCAAAGACTCAAGAAATTCGGAAAAGTAAGCATCGCTAATTCCAGCGTCGAAGCAGTCCTCACTTCGACCATATTCAATCCCTGACGAAAGCCGAATCATGGGAAGCTGTCTGTTTCTGTTTCTGCAGCTGCTCAGTTCCATTTGACAAGGTTTACCTTGACTATCACCAGCAGTGAATTCTACGGCAGGTTTCAAATTAATTTGAAACATGGCAATAACTACGTTCTCCAAATCCTCATCACATCTCGCCTATATTTGATATAAGCGAATGGTCCCTAAACTCCCGTGCCTCTCGGCGACTCATTACCGTAATGGACATAATCTTTCCATCCTTTCCACCCTTTCTATTCGAGCAAGCTTCATTCCTAATGGATGTGAAACAGCCCACAGGGAAATGCTATTGGAGTAGCTGCGTCTGAGCAGAAACAGGCTTTTTTGTCACTTCTTCAAGCATGGTATTAGGGATGAGAATCCAAGGCGTGAAAAAATTTCTCCTGGCGGCGTTTCTGCGCATTCATCTCGTTGATGGAAATAAGCGGAAAAGAAGTAATGTTACAATGATGGAACGATCGCTATCTCGTCCATTGGGACAGAGTCCATGAGGAATACTTCCGTGACAACAAACAACAATCAGCATTCGACAATCATGACTCAGTCACGGTCGACGAAGGGGTCAGCTAATTGCCGAACGTGTGAAGCGAATCTGCTGCGAGTCTCTGGGGGAAATCCAAAAAGAGCCGGTCGGGACGAGGAACATATGTTCTGATGCTAGAACCGATCCTGCCGAACAAAAAGTCAGAGAAGGAGCAAATTCTTCCACTCTGAGAAACGTGGCTCTATCAAGGACTAGAGGTCACGATTTCATATAAGGTGCTGAAGCTACTTCGATCGCTGCAGAGATGTCGGACTCTGCTGAAAGACAGCCTCGAATATCCCGGAAATCAATCGATTCAGGTATGGCTGTAGGGAACCGCACACTTCGACTTGGTCTCCGCATGCGAGCTGGGTCGGGCCGACTTCGGCGATAGAAAAATGAATCTACGGATGGGCCTGCTTGGCAACACTTGTCCACGCACTAGATTCTATTATCCTGTGTGATCGATGAATGACTTGGACGAAATCGACCGTGCCATTGACCATCCTACCGTTTCACGAGGTCCATGCCGTTTCCGCTCTTTCCACTTTTCACAAAGGATTTCTCACTATGGATACTAATGTCTTCTGAGGCATGAAAAAAAGTAGCTCACGACGTCTCAGCGGGGTGACTTGAGGCGGCGGGGGGAAAGGATTACTTAGCTTCGTCGTCTGCTCCGGAGGAATCTCCTTCATCCCCGCGTTCCCTCGCTGTTATGTATGACGGATTAACTCCCCTCATGCATTTCATGGAGATGAGAAAAAGTTCCCGATCTTTCCGTAAATTCGGTTGCTCTGAACAGTCTGCTCCTTGTCCAAGTGGTCAAACTGCTGTCCTAAAACGAGGTCTCGATGGATTGGTGGATCTGATCAGTTTCAAGCACTTATTTTAAAATAAATCCATTATAGGCCTTCATGCATGAGCAGGTTAAAGAGGCTCCAATGTCTGTGTGATCAGGCTCAAATACGCAAGATCCGAAAATATATCGAATGTGAACGCATGAACGTCAGATGAACCAAACTTGCTAAACTAATTCATAGTTTATTCATAACTTTCGAAGAGCGGCATTCGTATCTCGACAGAACTAACGCTGACTCGCAAGCGTAACGTTAAGCGTGACGTGTGACGGTACTGAAAGAAGTCCTCCTATGGTGAGGGAAAAAGTATTATAACTTTTTACGGTTCAATATCTATTTTTTCTTCCTTATGTTTACGATTAAAAAAAACTTAGTTTGTAACCTTTTCCTCTCCCCATCGGACTTGCTGGAGTTTTGCACATCTCCTTCACCTTTAGCTCAGTGCAGGAAGAAAATGAAGCTTCGCTTACTCACCACTTCTTTTGTTGTCTGAATCCGGCGGTTGCAGGGAGATTTCCCCCATGTGAACGTTTCCAGATGCACACGCTGGGGAGGTCCGGCTCGAACTGGAGCTGGCGCATCTTCGAATCTGTCCT